TCAGTTCTTTTGTCAACTTTTGAAGAATATATCCCCTTCAACAGGAATTTGAAACTATTTCTAATTATTTACGTGGTTAACATTTACTTACAATATTATGGCATGTACCCCTTGCATACTTTACACATTCTCTATAATAAATACATTATCCCTAACAACTTCATTCTCGCTAATAAAAACATTCTCGGTAACAAATACCTCATCGCGACTAGGTACATTCTCGCTAATAAGTACATTCATGTCATCAAACACCGTGTCGCTAGTGAGCACATTCTCGCTCGTTAACATCGTTAACAACTAAATTTTCGCTGATAAATACATTTTCTTTAATAAACACACGTTAACAAACTTGTCGATAATAAATACATTCATGTTAACAAACGAATTCTTCCTAATAAATCATTCTCGCTAACAAATACATTCTGACTATTCTTCTCATTATTAAATACATTGTTGCTAATATACGCATTCCCCATAATAAAAACATTCATATTAACAAACATCTTGTCGCTAATAAACACATTTATCACTATTAAATACGTTCTCGCGATTAAATACATTCTCGATAATAAGTGCATTCACACATACTTGTCGACAATAAAAGCATTATCCTTAATAAATACATTCATGTTAACTAATACCTTGTCGCTAGTATACGAATTTTTGCTAATAAATTCATTCTCGCCAACACATACATTCTGACTATTGAATACATTCTCACAAATAAATGCATATCTCTTGCAAATACCTTCTCGCTATTAAACACATTCCCACTAATAAACGTACTCTCGCTAATAAATACTTTTTCGCTAACAAACCCCTTGCCGCCAATGCACACGTTCTAGCTAATAAACACCTACTCGTAAATAAATAAATTTTTCATTATGGATTTTCAAATGTATTTGTTAACCGAGTATGTAAGTAGAAACAAATTAAAATATTGAAGAAGGGGTTATATTCTTCTAAAGCTCGTTCTATACAAAGGATTGGTTTTTTTCTCAACTTCACCTTCACACATCTAGATAATATTTGATCTCCAGACTATAAAGGTTACGGAACGACCTTTTATAGCTTTATACACTAATTAATATTGTTTTAGAAGCAATTAAAGCTTGTATTAATAAAAACAAAAGAAAAAGTTTAAAAAGGCTATTACAATTCAGACTAAAGTCAAAAAAGGGACTTCAGTGAAAATTAAAGTAACGCATAGTTCTAGGTGTCGGTAGTTTAAAAGGCGTACAGATTAATTGATTCAAAGAACGCACTTCCTAATCTCAAATGCGAAAATTTGGTCCTGTACCGGTTCCTTTTGAGAGTGCAAAAACCGTCGAGGAGCGGTATAAAAACCACCGGCTCTTACTCCAAATACCAGAAAAGCCGCAGATACCATCCCAGACCAGAGTTCAGTGGAACATGAGAAGGAGACCAGCTAAACGCTATACAATTTACATAATTTATGAAAACGATCGTAGAGACAATATCCCCTTCACGCTGGCCATTACGCAATTAACCGGAGGATCCAATTTGTACTAATTATGTACACATCCGCGAGAACGTTCTGAACACGCTTCCGATCGGCAACAATTATGCGAGATGATTCTCCGCCGTTATACTCACGAAACAGAACGAATGGCTCGTAAACGTTAATTGATTTAAATTAAAATTTTCTCTGTTAGTTTTAACCAACATAATCGATCTCGGAAGTTTTATTAAATAGAAATTTATGATTATCATATCGTAAAATTTAAAAAGAAAAAAGGTTTTGCCAGCATTGAATTCAAGTTTTACTGCTATTGAACGGGGTGATAAACTCGGAAAAACGGGACAAGGCCACAAAACACAGTCCCAGCGACATCGATTTATTTTTCAGACGTCGTTCTCAACTCAAGTTACAAAATTATCATCAATTGAGTTCATTTTGTTGTACATATTTTATCCACAATGCTTCATTTAAATTTCAAGCTAGCTGAACGAGCTATGGAGATTTAGAAAATTTCTTCACCCCAAAATTCACCACACTCCTATATTCACTATTTTTTAATTAACCGTTTTTGTCAATAACGCCAAAACATTTTTAGCTTCATAACGTTTGATGCTTTTATCAAATGTTTTTTTAAAATGAAATTACCAGCTTAGTACTATGAAAGATTTAAAGATAAATAGTTAAATTATAGTTATAAATCTACTATTTAATAAAAAAACAAACCACGACGGGTTTTATCAAAGATTGTTCAGACATGTTAAGGAAAAGAACTCGTATCTCACGTTTTTTATCTAAGCTTTCAGGATATGATATTGATGCAAACGTGTTATTGTGAAACGTTACCACGAAAATTCTAGTTGATTGAGAAAAATAAATGCAATGCGTGTCAAAAGCAATAATTTTCAGATAATCTTCTTGATAAGAAATTAACCTAAAACGCTAACCTACAAAACATCATCACCATAAGTAAAACTTATCTAATAGCCACAAGAAAAACTCTAGGTAAATCCTAGAAACTTTTCTTTTTCTTCTTATTATTTTTAATTATTATTATGTTACAACAGCGCCAAGCAACTTTGTGCCTTCATACATTTTATATTGGAGCAATATTAGAGTAGAGAAATAATCCATACAGTCCTATCAGAGCATTATTCACTTTCCTCTCTAGGGTGGAAAACACAGGCCATTGGCGCTTTGGGCGTTTTTTGAGGATTGTGGGTTAGGTTCGAGTTGAAAATGGACAAGAGGGTTGGTGAGCTTTATGAGGTTCGAGGGTTGTGTGGAGGTGTTTGTATCGATGTCTTCCGTTTTCGAGAAGGAGTAGATACGATATAGCAAGCTTGGGAAATAGTTCGAAGGATGTTGGATTCAAGTGAGTGGATCCGTTGTAGGTTAGAATTCTTGGTTGAACCCCACAGTTCAAGTTCCAGCACCTAAATCTTGCAAGCTTATTAACTACAGTTGTACTGGGCACAAATCAAGGGGAGTGACAGGGCTCTATAAGTTGTATAGTTGTAACTGGCTTCTGCGAAAAAAAACCTACACAATTTGTGTATATTCAACGTTGAGCCCATTTTTAGGTTATGGAAGAGGAACAAACTACCACACTTATTTTAGATTCGAATGCAAACCAATTGCTCAAAGAAGATATAACCTAGGGCACCAAGAAGACCATTGGACAAGAATAGCAGCATTGACATTAAATGACCTCTACTGCTTAAAAGAGGGATTGTATCATTTGAGCTGACCTAAATAACTAGAAAAAGTACAATAAATCAAAAAGCTACTGTGCTTAGGGAATATAAATCCCAATTCTTAGTCATCATCACCCATTCATTTTAGCTTCTAAGCGTAAGATATCATCGCAAAAAATAGTGAAATTCCTATGGTAATAGCTTCTTACCTTCAAAGTAGGTAAAGCCGGTTAACCTACGGGTCCTAAACGCAAGAAAATGCAGAATTAGTAGTAATAGGTCATAAAATCAAAAACCCAGAACACTGTGGGTATGTTCAAGTCGAGGTACTCATTGTCTCACTTTTTGCTGAACAGAAAGTCCCAACATAAAAACAGATCAGGAAACTACCAGAGCAGGTAATACATCAGACACTAAAATAACGTAAATCGTACGATACAAAATGAAGCCATTCACTGAGCTCCAGTAGATTAAATAATTAATAAGCGGAAAAATGGGGTTTTTGTAATTAAAAAAAAATGAACAAGGAATTTTGTAAATTTTCAAAACAAAATAGCATTTTCTATCTGTTACAACACAAACTTTACAACGGCGAATAACATACTTCCTAAGTTCTGTAAGTATAGAACAGATAAGCACCGAAAGGAAGGCTTGTACGTAATTCGAGCCCAGCAAGTAAGAAAGAAAATTTCTCTCATCAGATAAAGCAAAAACGTAAGCCAACGTACATACCGCTAAAATATGACCCCCGAGTGTTTTCCACCTGTCATTTTGAACTGGGATCATCGACTCATGCCCGTTGTAACTTTTATTACGTGTTTTGGATGGCGTACCGGACTTTTCCGGAAGCTAAATCGGCACCGTCCTTACAGCACAATCTGAAGCTACAAAGTATAAACGTGCTATCTAGCAATCTACGTGGATTCGTAAGTGTCACGGAGTGCCATCCTACATAATTTTCACTTACGATAATCTTCGTGTAGACTATAGTTTAATATGTGAACAGAGTAAATGCATTCGAAAACCGCGCTTCTCTAGCTCGAATAAACGTTCAGAAAATGCCAATGGAAAGTATTGCAATTGAACCAACAACTACTTCTATGATAAACAGGAAGACTAAACGCTTAACTTTTACTACTATTCTCGAAATAAAAATAAATTTAGTTTTAATTTAAATTATATTTTATATTTATAATGAATAATTGACGGATAAAATATAAAGTAGGTTCAAAAACAAATCATATAACATTGTAGCTGGCACACCATTGATAACGATTATTGATAAACATTTATTTTTATTTTTAGTTCAATGATTCATTTTTTTCAGAACAAAACGAGTCCAAAACATAATTGCACATTAATAATAACGTTGGAATAATATTTTAGTTAACAATGACAAATTTTTAATTATGGCGAATAATTGTAATGCGGATCGTGCAGTATCGTTTTGTTTCATCATGTACACGGGTTGATTTTTAAAACTAAAAGAACGCAAAGATAATTACTGCACGAAAGAGGAGGAGGGTCAATGGGCATAAACGAAATCTGATCAACGATGACGGTATAACGAGGACGTCCTTTTATCGAGACGTTCCAAGAGGTCAGTGTTGTGTTTTCAGGGTCCTTGATCGATTGGGGGTCACAATCTTGTTTGCAAGGAGCTCACGCCGGGCGTACACAGTGGAGAATCTCAATTACATTCCTCGACGCCCTTCAAATCTTAAATATGTATCAAATTATTTCGATCGATTTTATCGATTATCGATTTTTAACATGAACCGGCGACTTTTGAAACGATGATATTTGAATTTTTTCTTCCTTACCTCTTCTGGTGCGGGTCTAGGGCGAACCTATACGTTAGATTTATACAGAAATATAAAGCTAGGTAGACGAGCAACTCCCGCCATATCAGTTTATACACGCTCCCTCTCCATCTGTAACAGAAAACATATTTTTCTTTATATATGAACAATAAGTGCAAAACTGGAAATAGATATACATTTTTATTTAAAGAATGTTTTTACAAACAGAGTTAAGGTTATTTTAAACATATTGGATATACAAATTGTGAAAATATTTTAAAACGGTGCCATTTAAACACTGAAAAAATGGCACCGGTCACAGACTGCTGTTTGGTACCATAGGGCTGTAGGAAATTTTAAATGTATATAGTGTTTATATGTGTTTGTGTAGTGTTTATGTTAATGTATTGGAATGAATGTAGTTTATTAGCGTGAAAAGAAGGAGTTATATCGAGGAATTTCGATTAAGGTGGGGAATGTGTGACATCTGGGGAGTAAGAGTAAGTTATTAGCTGGAATGGAGTAGGTTCAACTCCCACCTCGAAGATTATCGAATATTTTGTGACTAGTCTTCTACATTTGCACATGTGATATGTTTTTACCTATCGACAACCTGAGGTACAAATGAGAGGCTAGCATTCTAGGATATCAACGTAGTATACATTAAAGACAGAGACAGAAATCAGTTCGAAACGCTCAAACGGCAGAAAATTAAAGACAAAATACGCGTGAAAGACCAGAAAAATAGGAAAGCACAGCGATGACCTCAGCATTTTCATATTAATTATCGGTTACCACATTAAAATATCAAATAAACCAAATCTCTTAATTCAATTGTATGTACAAAGAACGTACATAAATTATTTACATCAATAGTGTCCGAGAGTATAGAGTAAAACCTATTTAGCCAAAAAAAACATTGATCTCAAATGATTCAAAGATGTATATATTCAAACCAAATGTTTCAATGTTGGGCTATTAATTAAGTAAATTAATTCCACATAATTTACAAATCTCAGAAGTTGCAATTTTATGAAATCTTACCAACAAAAGGGACCTGATTATATTATCCTAGCCTAGCCTTAACAACAAACCTCAATTTGTTAAACTTTGTTTTATATTTAAAATAATCTTTTATATTCACTAGTTTCGTGGTCCGCTTGACCAATTAATATCTTACAATTAATTAAGGTTTTCAGTTGAGATAAAAAAAGTCAATGGCACGAGCGGGATTCGAACCCGATCTTCGGCTTGATACGCTGCTGCTCTACCACTTGAGCTATCGTGACCTCGATCCACTCGGACACCACCCTCCCATCTCAACCACGGCGTATCAAGCCGAAGATCGTGGGTTCGAATCCCGCTCGTGCCATTGACTTTTTTATCTCAACTGATAATCTTTTATTTTACCAAGGTAGAAAATTATTCGATGTATTGTGAGTTTAGGGCTCTACTTATATCCATGGAAAGGTAGTAATTTTCAAGCTTGAATATTAAATCTTTTAACATGTAGCAGACCAACTTTAAAAACAAAGCTGCTCCGCTGGAATTATTGTTAGTAACTCTTTTAACTGTGCCGCCCAGTTTAGTTCGGCAGGTATCAACCCTTATTTATTATATACTAAAATAATACTTTATTTCGAAAGAAAATCTAGTGAATTCTGTTCTCGAGCAATTTTATCCACCACTTGAACATTATTTTAAACAAATATGCCATAAGATTATCACAACTTGTTTTTAACCTCACCAGATATAGGCGTTTATAGGTGGTGTAGAGGTTTGTTTTTAGGCAATAATGGATGGCACTTCAAAAAATGTGTGCGTACAGCTTCTACCCTGCAAACTCCCCACAACTTGGAAATGTACAAAAACGATGCTCTAACAATGGAATGGTACAATTTCATCTTGGGTTCCCAATTATTAGCACGAGCTTTGACGAGTATATTTCTAACCGACGAGGTTGCCATTATTGCTTTCTTCTCGAGACTTGTATCCGCTTGTAAAAATTTGACTGAGGATTCTTCAATAATTAATAAATAATAAAATCATCCTCAAATAACAGCATTAGGAGGTTCGCACCATTGTATATCTTTCCTTCAACCTCGTCCTGCCAAAAGAACAATACTAGGTCCGAAATGAAAAGTCTAAAAATTATCTGTGACAAAGATTCGCCCGGCAACACCCCCTTAGTTACTTTTATAATTTGTGAATACTTATTATTGTGATTGATTTCTAAATTTGCACGGCAGTATGATTTTTGTAGAATATTGATAATTTTGGCACCGATTCCGAGAGAACTCCTGGAAATGTACTGAGCAAAAAATCTTATCAATAGAGATTGAAAGCTTGTATAAAAAATGAAAGATTAGAAATTAATTACTCAAATTTCAAAACTAAATTAAATAAAACCTGCTTCAGACATCTGTGAGCAAATCTATAGCCTTCTCAAGTGTGTGTAAAGGAAAAAATAGAAATGACATTTAACAAATTAAAACGTTAATATGTTCAAAAGAGGCAAACCTTGTCATGGGACATAAATAATTGTACTAGCCTAGGCTTACCGTTCCACTCTTCAACAACTGAGTCCTGCGAATTAAAAAATCTCGTCTTCTTATAGGACTTTTTTCCTATGATTGTTTAATGGCACCCAATGGGCTGTTTTCGTTCATATAACGATTAACGAATATCAACCTTCAAGGGTGGATCGATTCTTTTCTATCGGAACATCATTATCGGAGATCATTCTAAAATTCAAGGAAAGATTATCGGCCCGTGTTTTTTTTTGTCCCAAGGCTCTCCCAGTTGTGATATTTTTCAATGACATTGGATCAGTCCTTAACAACTCCTTATTTTCTCTCTTATCTGACGACCAAAACATCTTTTGCCTAACTTCCTCATTTGAGCAATGCAGTTTACTCCAGGAGGATCTTGGTGCGGAAAGATTATCTTAAATAAAATGAAAATAAGTTCTTAATGGTCATACCATTGACGACGTTGGTTCTGTCTCGGACCTTGAAGTTATTTTTAATAAGAACAACGATTTTCTTGACTCCTTGATGCAAGAAGAAAAACTCATTTAAAAACGTGGCCTTCATTAAAAGACAGACGGTACATTTTGAAAATGTATTAGCAATAAAATTCCTCTACCAGTCAATTGTTCGTTGTCATTTTGAGTATGCAAGTTTTATTTGGAATATGACAGTAGTGACCCCCTGAATTTTGTCGGACTGGACTCTTTGGAAGACAGAAGGACTTTTTTTCGACTTTGTGCTTAAGGAAGATATTGAGCAATAGGATTGATATTACGGATATCTTGCCCTGCATTGGTATTAGGTACCCCAGCGACACTTGCTACCAGCTATTCTATGTTCCCCACCACAGGAAGGATAAGTATGGCTCGGAATCTTGTCTTTCTCGAACGTTTGGGCAAATTAATCAATATGGAGATCTCGCGGATCATTTCTTGGCATGCCGCACTTGCTCACTCTTTGCCGGTTTTCAAAAAGAAGATTTGGCTAGCATTGAAAGAGTACTTCACTGAGTCCTGTTTTTTTTGTTTTTTTTTTGTAATCCACAAGTTTGATTTTTGCAGGTCGTAGTCAACTTTTATAATTTTATCAATTCATTGCTAATTCTTTTCAGCTAATGTTAAGTTTTTATATTCACAATAGTTATTTATGCTTTTTGTACTTTTGACTGTTCAGTTTTGGGACATCGGTCCCGTTTGACCTGTAATAAAATAAATAAATACATGGCCTAACTTCCACCTCATAGATTTCATTCTTGTCTCAACTTATGTCACTGTTTCTTATGTGATCTATCTTTTTAATATTCAGTGTGCTGAGTTCCATCTCCTTATGAATTCAAGAGACACTCAGCAGCCTTTCTTGTAAGAGACTAATTGTAAGTTTGGCCAACATTAAAATATGCAATTACCCACTTGTCTAACTAATGTCTAACTTTCCTTCTTGTATGTAGGAGGTTGGTAGGTTAGCCAAGATATCGAAGCCATTCTTTGCACCCTTTTTTAAATTAATTTTTCCCCTTGAAGATCACCAGTTGACCCAAGTCCATTCAGTCTTGTCAAGCGTTTTTCGTCGAAAGCAACACTACTTTTTCTGCTTTTTTCGGACCGATTTGTTATCGCACATCTTAAAACTAGTTTTTCCACTTTTTTCGTTTACTTCTCCAAGAATTTCCTGTAACATGTGTCTCCCCAAAAATCATATCTACAAAATTTGATAATCTAATGAAGATTATGATTTAGTTTGTTTATAATGGCAGTTACCCTCCGCGATGAACAATAGCTCCAATTTTATACGTTGATGAGACAACGTTATTTGAGCGAACGCGAAATGTTCTTTTTCCCAATTCGCTTCAAATGATTTTAATTATTTAGCTAGGAAAATGGTATTTTATGAGACTGTCAAGGATTTTTTTTTTCAAGAGACGGTGTCAAAAGCCTTCTCCAGATCAAGTTAGATTAGCCAGTCAGTCGATCAACTCACGGAAAATCTTAATTGCAACATATTCATTTGAGATTAACTCGAAAAACTATTGTCGCTTGGTACTTTCTCCTCGTCCATGACATGTACTTGATTCTAATGTACTTAGTTTAGTTTAGTTAAACTTCAATACAATCACAATTATATATTTTCTATGTTATGAACGCAGATGTTCTAACAAGGTTAGATGATTAATTACATTAACCAATCTGCATAAATAAATTTATGAGTAAATATGATAAATGATGAGAGAGAGAGAGAGAGACATGGAGGAGAGAGAAAATATAGAAACACAATCTCATTTTCTCTTTCTCTCAGTCTCTCTCTCTCTCTCTCTCTCTCTCTCTCTCTCGATCTATTTCACGTCATCTTCTATCACAATCTCCATCTATCTATCTTGAATTAGCTTCTCTTCTCATTCATTACTTATTAATTTCTCTCTCTCACTCATTTCTTTATCTATCTATCTGTCTATCTATATACATTAAACTTATGTACTTTTGATGAGAGAGAGAGAGAGAGAGAGAGAGAGAGAGAGAGAAAGAGTGAGAGAGAGCGAGAGTGAGACATGGAGGAGAGAGAGAATATAGAAGCACAATCTCACTTTCTCTCTCTGTCGCTGTTTGT